AATATTTTACACTGCCAGACTGCTCAGCTGTTTTCACTAAACAAAACTGGAAAGTTAAGGATAAACCGCTAGTCAGTAAAGTGCTGTTAGTGCTCTCAGACAGAAAGAGTCCTAATCTATTATTATTATATCTAGTGGACATAATTGAATGGCATCAAGAATTAATAACACCTGATTCTATATGATGACTGATTTACTTCAGCTCTTAACATTTTAAAAACATCAATAGAGGTGCTTTTCCAGGTGCCACTTTTCTCACTTATCTTTGAACACATCTTAATGTGTTCACTGTTCAAAAGTCACTGCTGATTAACCACATTTAATCAAGATCATCTTCCACACAGGATCATCCAGCTGAGTCTGAGGTGCTGTTTGAATCATGGTTGAGATCCAAGCTCAAATTTGACTAGGCTGACAGCATCAGGGGTAGTTACTGCAATGTCATGCAGAGGGCACTCTAACTAAACCTAACAGCAGATCTTCTCCATGCCTGCAGTACCTGTAAATTACACATATCTGGTTCAACAGACATCACTCAAGTCAATTTGACATGCTCAGTGACTGTTAACGGCACCAGTCCTGTGCCACAACAATGTTAAACACTGCACACTGTTTTGACTGACATTAAGTAGAAGCTACATTTTGTTTTGTTATCGCCGAGCCAAAGAGTCTGCCTGAGCAGACAAAGAAGAAACCAATACCTCTAAAAGGAAGCAGATTTGAAATGTGAAGCGAGAAGACCTCAATAAATCATAGTGTTTCTCACTGGCAGAACACCTCCACTTGGACTTTAAGATAACTTTACCTTCCATTTCTTCACTATAAATCAATACAACAGCTGTGAACATTACAACATTCCACCTCCAACTCAGTGGGCCGTTTTATTTCTGATTACTGATGTGCCAATGCGTAAATATTAGACAGGTTAGAGAAATATTGTTTACTAACACGTTGAAGCAACAGTAAAGGAAAACACAACACACTTGCATCTGTTGTGTGGAATATTATGACTGTGAAAATCTACAAATATGAATCTCAGACACCCACGTTGATGTGCCTGATGCTAACACCTTCTGTCTCCTTCACATATGCACATGATTTCCACCTTCACATAATTTGGTGTTCGTGCTCCTCTCGTCTGTGTCATCATCTGACTTAGTGTGAAACTCCCAGTCTGTTTGGTGACACACCGTCTCAGATCTCCAGCTGTCAGCCTGGAGGACAAACCCACAACATATTGTTGCTGCTGAAAGAGGATTGCGAACATTCATCGTCTCCTGGCTACAAAATATCCCAAGTATGTCTGAGTCACCAAATCAAAGAATGATTACAAATCCCACAGAATCATGTTCCAACTGATTAAGGCTGTGTGACTTGAAACTGTGACCGCTTTTAAGCACAGGATCAGTGTAACAATCACAAGTGCGGACATGGAAATCAGTGGAGCTGTGGGAGGAGTGCTGTTGCAGCAAGAAAATGATCAGGCTGTTAAGACATTTCTCGTGTGAAATGCTTGTTTTGCTTTACAGTACACGCTAAGCCACCTCTGGTCAGTATCGATTGGTAGTTTCAATCTGGAGTGCTTTTCATGGGGACTGCAAAATGGACAGGCAAAGTAGACAAGTCCATGGAGCTATGATGGGGGGCTTACAAAGAATGGTGGGCAACGTTAATCTGCATGAAATCTTTGTAAAAGTTATTAGTTCAGTGGTGTGTTCTAGACAATGAACCCAGGGCTCAGAGAGAATATCTGCTAACCATGTTGTTACAAAACCAACTACATCTTCAATGTTCATCCTGTGGCAAACATTTTTTAAAGAATGATGCAATGTCATGTTCATATATGGGGCATGGTCAAGCTGTATGCTGTATCCAAAATAAAGCCATGGGAGATGGCATTGGCAAAATCTTGAATACGTTAAGATGGCTTGTCACCATAATTAATAAGAATCTGGATTTTTGTTCTGATTCACAGAAGCTGGAAC